GCTAATTAATCAGCTAAATATCTAATTACATTATAAATTATTAATGTGGAGGACACATTACATAGTTACAAACTACTAAGCTTTAAAATGAGTGATTTTTAACTGAAGCTCTTCACTTAAGGTGAACATCTAATAGGCTATTATGTTGAAAGTACTCAAATGTTCCACCAGCCCACAGGAAGAAATACACAGGCAACAATATTGCATCACACAGTCATCATGTTCTTTAAACCAGTCCTGATCAATGTGGCAGGACGCATTATCCTGCTAAAAGAGGCCACTGCAATCATAAAATACTGTTCCCATGAAGGGATGTACCTGGTCCGTAACAAAGTATAGGTTGGTGGCATGCGTTAAATTTACACCAACATGAATTTCTGGACCCATATTTCCGAGCAGAACATTGCCCAGAGCATCACACTCCCTCACAGTGCATCCTGTTGCCACCATGTAAACAGAGCACACATACTTGGCCATTCACATAATATTAAAGAAAATGGACCGTCTTCTATTGTTCCCTGTCCAGTTGTGACACTCACATTGTAGGCACTTGGTGGACAGGGGTTAGCACGGGCATTCTGACTGGTCTGCAGCTACACAACTCCTTATGCAGCAGTGTTGTGACACATTCCTCATATCTCCTGTAACCATCATTAAACTTTTCTGTGAGTTGTTTCACAGTAGCCCTTCTGTTAGTTCTGACCAGGCGTTGCCCTCTTTGTTGCCCTTGTACATAGATAAGTCTTTGATCAGCCTGTCACCGATCGATGGTTTCTCCCACCTCAGACCACTGTCGTTATGTACTTACACCCCACAAGTCTTGTTGTTTTGGACATGCTCTCAGTTATATGACCATAATGATTTGATCCTTCTTCAAGCAGCTCAGGTCTTCAAACCTGCCCATTTCTAACACATCCAACATGTCGACTGTGAGAACTGACTGTTTGCTAACTGTCTAACATGTCCAAGACCTTGACATGATGTTCTTAGAAGACAATCGTTTGACCTTTATGTTTGAAGAAGATTGAATAATAGACTACAATTTGTTGTTTTGATGATGTTAATGGTTTTACCGAGTCTCTATTGCACACCGGTGGAGAAGCAGTGCAGCATCACACAGCAGATTGGACAGCAGTTGTACATTTTATAGCAGTTTACATTTTATATTCAGAACATCAATTTTGATAATACCATTGATGCCATTTCCAGGACCAATGTCATCACATGGAGGTGGGGACTCTGGTCTGGATCCCTGACTCACCACACATCTCCCTGACTGAGCTGGAACGTACTGCATAGCAGTAAGTATTCAAGGGGGTACATATCAAATCTTGTTGGATTCGGGTTGAAATCAGATCACAATCCGTCAATGCCTGGTTCAAAATATGGCATTGGAGAAGGCTTAAAAGTTGAAAATGCAATGTATTCACAGGGATATATATGAATATCCACTGGTGTCAGTCACTATTGATTTCCAGGGAGAAAAACCTAGTGTTCAGGTTGTGGTTAGTCCTTGCCTTACCTATCCTCTGATTTTGGGGACAAATTGGCCACAATTTAAGATATTAGTTTAGGAAAATATAGAGGAGGGGTCCTGTGGTGGTGTGGAAGTGAGAGAAGAAATTTACATAAGGAGGTGCTGCCCACGACAAGCTATTAATTACTTACCAAGTGGCAATGGCCCCCTTGAGGTCGCACAACAAGTAAGAGAGATCGAATATGAGGTAAAATGGTCCAACTGAGGTGGTTCACTCCAGGCATACCACCTCAACCTTCTTAAACCTTGGCCCATATGCAAAAAATGAATTCCATAAAAAATAGTTTGATGATTTTGGTGTGGAGGAGTCCAAGTGGCCTGCACAGAGTCCTGACCTCAACCCCACTGAACACCTTTGGGATGAATTGGAACTTTGATTGTGAGCCAGGCCTTCTCGTCATCCCATTCCCTTCACTGTGTGCTAGCTAATTTGATAACTACAGTATGCTCAAACCATCTGACTGGATACCTTAGTTGATGTTTCATTCGGTTGTACAACAAATGTATAACTAATGATATCTTGCATAACAAACATGATTTCTTGTCAAAACAGAAACATTATTTTATTCTCATTCATTTCAAAGACACGACCAATTACTGTTTCTCTGGTGTTGGCTTAGCAACAACCAACATGACCCATTGGTTGGGTAAAAGCAACACATACTTTTTGATGAACATCCAAAGGATTAGTTTGTCCTCTGCTTTGTCATTTGTGCACCAATCATCTCCAAAAGCAACTTAAACTGAGATGCAAATGATCCAGTTATAAATATATTCTCATAAAGTTTCAGCTCATAAGTGAGGTGTGAAATTTCCAGTCTCCTTTTGCTTTTCCAAAATGAAAAATAGCCTACAAAATATTAGTGTTTTGTGAGCAGCAAAGGACACCTTTGTCACTGGGCTGTGACACAAATAAAATAACAAGCAGCTGTAGTAAAGCAGACACTGAACAGTCAACAGAGTTTCAACATGTGCCTTTAACAGTCTTTGGAAAAGAAATCAAGTCATTATTTAGCCAAATGTTGTTCTTTAGGAAATAACAGTTTGAAATATTGTTTTTCTAAAACTATTTGGTTTTATACCTGTCCAGGTTGTATCCTGCCTTCCGCCAAATGACAGCTGGGATAGGCTCCAGCACCCTCCTGTGACCCAGAAGGATAAGCAGCTTAGAAAATGTGTGTGTGTGTGTGTGTGTGTGTGTGTGTGTGTGTGTTTGGTTTTATATTTTTTAATTTCCTTAATCAAATGAAGAATAAAATGACAGGTGTTTACAAGTGTTTTTTATCAAAAATAAATACATGTTTATGTAAATATTCTCTCTTTTCTCAATGTCAGCCACGTTAGCATTATTTTTTTTTTTTCACAGGATTTGCTGTAAGTCTTGGCCATCAGAGTAGATGCTTTTATTATCATAATCTCCTCCCAGTATTTTGTGCTTTGAGAGGGAAACTCCTGTAACTGCGCAGGTAAACAGGCAATAATGGAGCAGAGCAGTGACTGACTCCTTTTGTATTATCATTTTATATTTTTAAATCGCAACATGCTGTGACTTTTTAATGTCGAAATACAGTTTACAATGGTGTAAAACATTAGTAACAAACCTATGGGAGCATCTCACTGATTACAAATCAATAAGCTATGAATAGACCTGCTCTGCACTTTATCAGTCAATCTCATGCCTAGAACACTCAGTTCTACCTGAGAGCTGAGAGAAGTTAGATGTGTTTGTGGTCTCACTTCTATTCTAGTATAACAGCAGCAATGACATCATCAACTAACGAAGAACTAAAACTCAATAATTATAGCAGACTGTTCTGATGATAGACTACTTATCAATATGTTTACTATCATACAGTGTATCTATTGCCCAGGTATAGAGTAGTGCTCCAATATGCTGGATAATTTTATTTACAATGTCATTTTAATAAAAATAGAGAAACAGTAAAACAGAGGAGAAGAAAGGAAATCAACCCTTAAATGGCCTCAGCAATCCAAGTCCTCATCTGAGAGAGAGACAATGGTCAGTGTAAGATCATATCAACTCTGGAGACACACACAGACAGCAGCACTCAGCCAGTCGCACTATGCTTTAAATAGTACATATTTTCTACCCTTCTTGTAGTGAAGTGCTAGAAAGGCCAGAAACCACAACTGCACACCTGTGACCTACATATTATTTTATGTCAACACTGTTTAGAAATGCTGCTGACATCTCTGGGCTCAAGCTCATCTTAAATGGACTGACACACCATGGAAACTACATCAAAAATCTAGACACATCATTTTACATACATGCTCCTCCTGCAGTGTGCAGTTTTTACTGTAGGCCTCATTCTGTGGAGTAGAAGAAAATGGTTGTTGTTTGTTGTGGATCTTTGGAATATTGGATGTTACTGAACAGGGATGTCAGTTCTGTGAAAACTGAACCGTCTAATAAAGTGAAAGTAGAACAAAAAAAGACTAAAAGTAGAACAAAAATCCACTTAAACCCATGTAAGCAGATGCTGCTGAATTACCCATAGAAGTTACCAGAATCTGGACAGTAAATCTAGATATTTCCCACGACTCAGTCACTCAGAATAGACAATCAACACAGTTCATCATTCAGATTATTCATTTTATCTTTATTGAAACAAAACAGTACGTTTTTTAGAAAGTTTACAAAAAGCAAATCTCACTTCAAGTGTGTATCAAATTTCTGAGTAAAAGATAGTTAACACACGTAAAATACAATGAACTATGAATAATGTTCAACATGTTGAACTATGAATAAAAAATACTATAAAACAATAAAAAGTGAAAAAATAATACTGCATTTACAAAGTTAAAGTAAATATTGAAAACCGCTCAGTTACTGAATTTATGAAAACAGTGTTTGTCACAGTACAAAAAGCTTAGGAAAGACAAATATCAATAAAAGTAAGTAACATGGAAACATGATTAATTAATTCTGGCCTGAATAATTTGGATGAATTTGGTATTTCTGTCTTCATTTTTATTCAGGAGCTTCATCTTTTTAAGCTAACGTGATTGTAGCTTAAAATGAATTTAATTACAAAAAGCCTTTAGATAGAACAGTTATTGTTAATATAAAGGAAAATGTTACATTACTTAATAAGTAATAGCTGCTTTAGCTGATCATAAATACCATATATACATAATATATCATAAATATTGCCAGGCATATCAGCTCGACTTAGACTGTAACAAACTGCATCACGTTCCATGTTTTCATTCATTCATTCATGTGTTTGTTTGTTTGTTTGACAGGGACACAGGAGATAAACACTGTCAAATACAATGCAACACATGTAATGTATCCACTCTGCTCAGTGAGCTGCTTCAGGGGGATTTTAGCTCCTTTTCTGTTCTGTCAGATGAACTAAAAGACTACTAGAACTGCACTGACTGACACACACAGCATAGATGAACAGTTGGATGTTGAGATGTTATTTAAAGCCTCTTTTTCTGACCTGTCATATTGAGTAATCTCTAATTGGGTGTTAAAGCACATTAAAATATATATAATGTAAAATCCTGGTATTCACTCAGCAAGATGCTCCAGCTTCCATCACTGCTTATGTTCTGTTCTCCTCATCAGGTTCAGCTGTGAAAAACACAGTGATCAACATTTCACTTTAATCTTTCAACAGATTTTATATAGTAGTAATAAACACTACTGACACTTTGAAGAAACACAGAGGGAGTTTTTACCTTGAGCTCTGTAACATTTGACCCCCAGCACAATGGACACCAGCAAATATGGAGACGCTGCCATGAAACTACTGAGCAGACTGAGCGCTGAGACTGGAGCTCCTGAACTGGACAAACCTGATACACACAACAAAATCACTGTAATGAAGAAGAGAAACTACTGTTGAACACATTTTAATCAAAATAAAAATGCTAATTATTATATATTTCGTGTTGAAAGCAGCAGACCTCTGACTGAGATCCAGCTCTTTGGTGACTCTCCTTTCTCTGGGTGTTTACAGTGGTAGAGACCTTCATCTGACTTTGAGACAGTACGGATGATCATCTCTCCTGTAGTCTGGGTCTGGAGCAGTGATCCATCTTTATAGAAATCAGCTGTGAGGTTTGAGGGCTTTGTGGAGCGAAATAAACAGCGGAGAGTCAGAGAATCTCCCTCAGTCGCAGGATGGACAGGACTGTCCAGAATCACATCACCATCTGTAGGAGAGAGTGAGACAGTAGAGAAAACAGAAAGTGTGGAGAACTCAGTAATGATCTGAACACAGAGACCCCCATCATCAGTGAATATTAGAGACAGCGTAGTAAAGAAGAAGGAATGCAGACTTTTCCTTCCCGGATGGTAAAATATTTTCAAGTATTTAAGATAAAAAACAAACAAAAAAAATAACATAATTTGGTAAAGAATGGCTACAATTCAGCATGATAATGCTTCATACTTGGTTAACATGTTCTGTGAATCTTCTTTACAAATTTTACTTTTTTTTTTTAAATTACAAATTACAATTTTTTGTGTCTCTGTGATGTTTGTGGTATGTTTGTGTGGTGTTTTGTATCTTTATGGACATCATGGTGTTTGGAGGATGGCTGTTCTTGACAAGATGGTTGTGACTAACAGAAGCAGTTAATTACGCAAATCTCCACACTGTCCTACCAGACACGGCGGTGTGGTCATTTGTTGTCATTGTGAAACTGGGTGAAAGTGACTTTGTGGAGATTATTTGAATGAAAGTGACTGTTACAGATTTAATTAGTCTGTATTTAGTCTCTTGTGATTAACATTTACCAGTAACATTGTGTTTATTTGATAGTGAATGAATCCAAGTTTCCATTATAATAGTTGCTCTATGTAATGATGATTATGTTGTTAATAATGAATTTTTTATATTTAAATTTAAATTTTTGGTCTTCTTTGCTTGTTTTTAACTATGAGTTCTTTTTGGACTTCTCATTATTTTTGACCATCTGGGCTCTGTCACATGACAGAAATTCTGAATGGGTGCTTTTGATACCTTTCAAAATTTTTCATTTCATGTCTAGCTCCACCCACCCCTATCACTAAGTGAAACACTCAACCAGCTCAGAGATCTCACTCTTACTGATTCTGTCTTTCACTTGGAGGAAACTTCAGTTTGATTTCAGGGTGTGGTCACACTTCTTTGATTTAAATAATCTTGTAACCTTCTGGTGTAATTGCTATGTTAGTGTGGTTTGTTAGAGAACACTGCCATGATGCAGGCCCTCTGTGGAGTTCTTTTTCAGTCCACTTCTAATCAAACTGTGGTGCAGTTTGTTTAAAATATGAATGCAAAACAGATCAAACACTAGATGAACCACCACCTCGTCTCTGCAGATCTTCTTTGGTACATACAACAGAAATCTTCTGATGCACATTTAACTGTTAATGATAGAAATAAAGTGAGAAAGACAATTTTGTGAGATATACCCACACACACACACACACAGCATATTATCAAAATGCTAATTAAATTGTATATTTACAACTGCATTTCCTCATCATTGTGCTCCAGTTCTGCCAAAATTAAAATCTATCTGCAACCCAGTTTGCAAATCTATTGTAGCTGTTAACGAGGTGCTCCTGTCAATCAAACGCTGTGGGCAGGACGTCGGGAGGGAGGTTTTAGTGTAGGGTGTGTTTTAAGAGGAAGTGACAAAAATGTCTCAATTTTAGAGGTACTGGCACAGAGCTAGACACTTGTTTAGAAAATTTAAGCAGTGGTAGCAACGGTTGCTAGGGATATGTTTACACTCTCTAAGCAGGCTGAGGACAATTCTCTCAAAAGTTCCTGTTGTTTTGTGTAGAAGTGATTTTCTAACCTATTAGGAAAGCTTATGGCTGTCACAGGCACCAATGTCCATCACACTGTGACCAGTTTCGAGCAGGAACACAGGTCGTGGAGCAGAGCTAGTTCAGACCTGCAAAGGTGCCCTTTTACCTGACCTATGAGACATGTAAACTATTTTCAGTTGCTGCATAATCAGACCTGACATCCCAGTACTCCCACTACAATCCTCAATCCTTTAAAATGGTTTGCTTCATCTGTCAGTCTAATAATAAACAGATCTATACAGAACAGAACTAAGAACAAGCAAACAGTATTTAAAATTATAGATAATACTATTATTATTTTTATCAGCTGCATCAGGATCATTTAAACTGGCTTTCCCAGATTTCTGTTTATACATTCTCACAAATGAAATATTATTTATACTATGGCTACACTTAATACTTGATCATTATTATTTACTGAGAGTTGTGCTTCCTTATTGCCCAGTATGCCCAGCTAGTCAACATTTTAAATTCAGTGTTTAATCAATAATCAATGTCAATTTGTTGTTGTTGTTTAATTTTGGAAGAGCTGGAGTGCAAACATCATGAAATCCACATTCAAATGAGCCATTGCTATTCTGTTTTTCACATGTCAGAATCAGAACATTAAGACAATGAAAATCAAATGTCAAAAGAATTTTGCTTTTCCGTGTAAAAACTTTCAACCATTAAACATGGAAATGCAAATTAAAATACAGATTTTTCAATTGAATTTGAATTGTATTCTGATGCTTTCCTCCATTCCCGCTGCCACTGCCTCCCAACCTCTGGACTACTTTACCCAGAACACCGCACATGAATCTACACCGGTCTGCCTCACCTGACTACTGATTTACCACACCTGCTCCTTGTGTCTTGTACCTTGTAAGTTTATTATATAAGTCCTGGCTTTAGCTCAGGTTCTTTGTGAAGTATTGTCTTTTTTCCAGATCAATACTGAGCCTTCTAAACTGTCTGTTTGCTTTACCGTGTTTGACCATTGCCTTGTTTGATTTCCGACCTTGTCTTTGGTGTTGTCTTTTCAGTTTTGTTGTATTTTCTGGATTGACTTTGTTTCTGAATTTTGAACATTGCTATTTGGGCTTCACACATGGTTACTGTTTTCATGATCTGACTTTTGACTTTGGACTGGCTGACCTTGATGTTGGATCCTCCTTTTGTTGATAAACCCATTTTACTTAAGTGTGGCCTGTGAACATCTGAATTCTGTTCGAGCCTGTATCTTAACCAATGCACGCTCAAATGAGAAATGCAGATAATAACATTAATGCAGTAAATACACAATGTAATTGCATTTACTTGTATTTAATTTAAAAAAAAGTCCAGAATTTTCTACCACACATTTAACTGTTAATGGAAGAGACAAAATGAAACAGACGCCACACTCACCTGATACAGTCAGTGTAACAGCTTCACTGGTGTGTGGGTATATTCGGCCTGTTGACTGTGTTCCCTTACAGGTATAAACACCTGCATGAGACTGATCCACATTAGAGATTTCATATTTCTTCCTTTTAGCATCTCTGAGAAGATTATTATTCTTATACCATTCATAATTCCAGTGATCTCCACTTTCTATTTCACATGTCAGAGTGACTCTCTCTCTGATGAACACATGATCAGCTGGCTGGACTTTCACTGTAGCTTTTGGTCTCTCTGTTCAAAGATGATAAACACTTTTAAAACTTATACACTCTCTCTGAACGTGCATGACAGTATTCAAAAACATTCACTCTCTATTAGTTTACAAAGAGAGTTTTATTCCAGATGTGTTTTCTGGAGTTGGTTACTAGGACATTAAATTTTATGAGGTGTTATCAGCCTCTACTAGGCTGAAAGGCTCATATGAGTGTTTTGGATTTTTTTTTGTGTGTCCTCATGTCAAAACAGAATTTCAAAAATGTGTGAATGAGAATTTCTTGGAAAATAGAGAGAAAAATATTATTTTAAGGGTATCCAGATATGTGTGGATGAAATCTGAGTTTAAAAAAAAAAAAAACTTAAAGCGAGTCTTTCAAAAAGGAAAGAAGCCATAACAAAGAAAAATGTGGACACACTAAACACAGAACAATTTGAGATTGTATTTAGTTGTAGAGGCCTCTTTGTACCTTTCTGTTAAATGTGTGTTTTGCTTTTTTCCAACACAGAAAAGTTATAGCTTGTAGGCTTATTTTATGGCTGTTTTGACCGGAAATGAAGCAAATGAGCGGAAGTCTCTGATGAGCTTTGCACAGTGCTGTACATTAACTCAACGAGACTCCTGAGATTCTGCGTTTTTTTGTATAAGACACTATGATGTTTTATACTTGTAATGCACATCTACAGTTTAAACTCCTACAGAGAGAAATAAAGTACGAAAGACTCCACACTCACCTGATACAGTCAGTGTAACAGCTTCACTGGTGTGTGTGTATATTCGGCCTGTTGACTGTGTTCCCTTACAGGTATAAACACCTGCATGAGACTGATCCACATTAGAGATTTCATATTTCTTCCTTTTAACATCTCTGAGAAGATTATTATTCTTATACCATTCATAATTCCAGTGATCTCCACTTTCTATTTCACATGTCAGAGTGACTCTCTCTCTGATGAACACATGATCAGCTGGCTGGACTTTCACTGTAGTTTTTGGTCTCTCTGTTCAAAGATGATAAATACTTTTGAAACTTTTACAGTCTTACTGAACATGCAGGACAGTATTCAACAACATTCACTCTCTGTAAGTTTACAAAGAGAATTTTATTCCAGGTGTGATTTCAAGTCAATCTCTACTACTCTTTTGCATCTTCCACTTTCTTACTGTGGACAAACTCTAATAAACTTTCCACATGAAATTGAACTATTGACTTCGGTGTTCATGAAATGAGCTGCATGAGTTCATTGAGACTTAAGATACAATGGATGGTTTATGCTGGATTGAGTAATTCAGAT